CATATAATATTTTCTTTATCCAATTATCAGTTGAAGGACAGTTAGGCAGTTTTCATTCCTTGGCTATGGTGATATGGAGGTAATAGAAAATCTGGAAATAACCTAACTATAGTGCTGCAGTGAACATATAAGTATAGATATTTCTTTGAGAGCCTATTTTCAACTCCTTTGAATAAATACCTAAAAGTGAGATTGCTGGATCATATGCTAGTTTTATTTTCATTTTTTTTTTTTTTTTACGTAAAATCCACAGTGTTTTCTACAGTCTGTGAAGGCTTTTCTTGGAGCTGGAACACGGGTTTCGGCAGTGAATAATGTGGAAGATGTGGGTTATGGGAGATAGTAGGGGGCCAGAGATTGTTCATGATTTATAGACATCTGAGCACATGTCATCTTGGAAGAGTGCTTCTGTGGTAGAGTTCAGTATTAAATATATGTCATACTATTAAATACATTAATATAAAATCAGAGGGAAGAGAATGTCATCTAAATAGAAGCAATAGAATGTCATCCAAAACCCTTTAGGTATTGAATAACTTGGCAATTTAAAAGTATGGAAGGTAATTAGAATTTTGAAGTTTAAAGGAACCAAGGTATTACCTATTCTAATCACTTCATTGTTGAAGTGATTAGTGATTAGCCCCAGAAACTGAGAAGCAGAGGGAATAAGTCATTTGTGCAATTTTCTAAAATTTATCCAGAGCTAAATTAATTTATATACATAACTTGGGAAACACAAAACTGAAACCCATATTTCTTAACAATAAATTCAGTATGCTTTCTGTTGTGCAAAATCAAAGTTTTTTTTTTTTTTTTTTTTTTGAGACAGAGTCTTTCTTGCCCCGGTAGAATGCCTCATGGCGTCACAGCTCACAGCAACATCTAACTCTGGGGTTCAAGCAATCCTCTTGCCTCAGCCTCCCAAGTAGTTGGGACTACAGGTGCCTGCCACAATGCCTGGCTATTTCTTAGAGATGAGGGCTTGCTCTTGCTCAAGCTTGTCTCAAACTTGTGAACTCAAGTGATCCACCTACCTTGGCCTCCCAGAGTATTGGGATTATAGGTGTGCCACTGCACTGGGCCCCAAAGTGCTTTTTTAAAATGGTATAAGTGATACTTCTTTGTTTATGAATATTTTGGTTTTTTGGTAGGCTTCCTTAGTTTCAGAGCTGAAGGCAGGGTGATTTAGTGACTTAGCCCTTCTGAGCATCTGAACGTGTCATGATTGGTTGGGCACTTACTCCCGTTGCTCATTTTTTTAAAGTAAAAAACATTGCAGACAAAAAGCCTGGGATTTGGGGAACTATAGAGACATCTGACTCTGACAAAATTGTACCAGTAAAAGGTACCAATAAAATCTAATGGCTCATGGAATAAATAATATAGTGATATGAAAATTAGGGAATCAATAAGAGGGATGATTTGCTTCCGTAGAAGGGTCAAATCTATTTTAAGCCACTTTTCAAAACTGAGAGAAAATATGAATACTTAACAGTGATTATAAGGGGTGATTGTAAATTAAGCTGAGATAAACAGTCTAGTGCAAGTGTTCTTATGATAAAAGGCTTTATTTTTTCTTCTGGGTAAATGCCTAGTAATGGGATTGTAGGATCAAATGGAAGGTCTAATTTGAGTTCTTTGAGGATTCTCCACACTTCTTTCAAAAAAGGTTGTATTAGTTTGTAGTCCCACCAGCAGTGTAAAAGTGTTCCCTTCTCACCACATCCAGGCCAGCATGTGGAGCTTTGAGACATTGTGATGTGGGCTATTCTTGTTGGGATTAGGTGACATCGCAAGGTGGTTTTGATTTGCATTTCTTTGATGATCAGGGATGATGAGCAGTTTTTCAAATGTTTGTTAGCCTTAGTCTAACAAACTAAGACAGACAAACATTTGTCTGTCTTAGTCAGAGAAGGTTCTGTTCATATCTCTTGCCCAGAGGTAGATGGGATTGTTTACTTTTCTCCTGTTGATTGATTTGAGTGCTCTTTAGAGTCTAGTTATCAACCCTTTGTCAGATTGATACCCTGAAAATATCTTTTCCCATTCTGAAGGTCATCTTTTTGCTTTACTTATTGTGTCTTTAGCTGTGTGGAAGCTTTTCAACTTAATTAAGTCCCATTTGTTAATTTTTGTTGTTGTGATGGCCGCTGAAGTCTTTGTCATAAAATCTTTCTCCAGTTCAACATCATTAAGAGTTTCCCCCACATATTGTTCTAAGATTTTTGTTTCCTGTCATAGATTTGAATCTCATTCATCTTGAATCAATTTTTGTACAGGGTGAAAGGTGTAGGTCAAGTTTCAGTCTTTTACATGTGGTTATCCAGTTCTCCCAGTACTATTTGTTTAATAGGGATTCTTTTCCCCACTATGTGCTTTGGTTTGATTTATCGATGATCAGATGGCAAGTAGAGACTAGTTTCATCTCTTGGTTTTCTAGTCTGTTCCATATGTCTTTGTCTCTATTTTTATGCCAATACTAGGCTGTTTTGATTATTATAGATTTGTAATATAGCCTGAAGTCTGGTAGGGTGATGCCTGCAACTTTGTTTTTATTGCTAAGAATAGCCTTAGCTATATGGGGATTTTTCTGGTTCCATACAAAATGAAGTACTATTTTTTCCAGTTCTTCAAAATATGATGTTAGTATTTTAATGAGGATTGCATTGAAACTATCTGTTGCTATGGGTAGAATAGACATTTTGACAATGTTGATTCTTCCCAGCCAGCAGCATGGTATGTTCTTCCATTTGTTAGTGTCTTCCGTAATTTCTTTTCTTAGGGTTTCATAATTCTCAAATGCCCACCAACCCAGGGATGGATTAAAAAGTTGTGGCATATGGATACCATGGAATTCTATTCAGCCACTAAAAAAGATGGAGACTTTGCATCTGTTATATTAACCTGGATGGAGGTGGAACACATTCTTCTTAGTAAAGTATCACAAAAATGGAGAAGCAAGAACCCAATGTACTCAATTCTAATATGAGGGCAATAGATAATTTAATACAAGGAGGGGGTAGTGAAATGAGGGATCGGGGAGGGGGGAAGGAGGGGTGCAGGGGGTTACAGTGTATGGTAAACCTCTTAGGGGTGGAACATAATTACAAGAGGGACTTTACCTAACAACAGCAATCAGTGTAACCTAATTCTTTGTACCCTCAATGAATCCCAAACAATAAAATAAAGAAAGAAAATTAAAAAAAAAATGATTCTGGAGGGAAAATAATTTTTAAATGATTTTTTCCTTTAGAAATACAAAACAAAATTTCTAAAGTCTTTTAAGTATAAGAGGTGGCAAATAAACGTTTATGCTTATAAATATTTTTGTGAGCTTCTGAATATGGGTGTTGAATCTGAGCTCTTTTATTGTTTTAAAGTGATGGTTAAGAGCAATATAGCAAAACCCTGCCTATACAAAATATTAAGAAATTAGCTCGTGTGGTGCAGGCCAGATACTGTAGGAGGCTGAAGTGGTAGGAGTTCTTGAGCCCAGGAATTTGAGGTAAAAGTGAGCTGTGATTGGGCCACTACGTGCAAGCTGGGGTGACAATGGAAAACTCCATCGTTAAATAAATAAATATAGTGATGGGAGGTAACATCAAATGAATGTGTTAAATTGCCTATATTTTCTATGAGAACTACAAAAAATAAAAATTTTATATATTCTCACGATTATAACACGCTAATTTTAGTCCTTTAGAAATGCGTACTAGAAATACATGCTTATTGTGTCCTTCAAAAAACATGTTGGAAATCTTTAGTTTATATTTGAATTTATTAATTACCAGGACCATGATGAGTTTAGTTTATATTTGAATTTATTAATTACCAGGACCATGATGAGTTTAGTTTGTATTTGAATTTATTAATTACCAGGACCATGATGAGTTCACATTATAAGAAAAAAATATCTCAAAATACAGGAACTAAATTTTATACCCTTATAGCAATGGGGTATATAAGTATAAGAATGAATGAAGAAATAATAGCTTAGAATCATCAGACATTTTTCACATATAGAAGATGAATATGATATAGTTCAGTGATGCACATAATAGTAGGAAAATTTTACAGTTAAAGTATCTCTCAAGAACATATCTTTTTTATATTACTCATAATGTAATACAATTGATTGCACTGTGAGTATCAAGTTCGTTCATCAATCGAATTACTATTAATTTATTCACATTATGTAGAGAAATAATTAAAGTTATATAGAGTACTCTATAGAATACATTTGTGCTAGAGACACAATTCATATACTATAGTTTTAAAAGAACGAATCTGTATATTATGACTGTAAGTTTTTTTATTGTAACTGAGAAACCTTATTTTTGCTATTTTTTATTATTTCAGCATGTTACAGGAGTACAAATGTTTTGTTTACATGAATTGCCTTTATACAGTTCGAGATAAAGTTATAAATGTGTCCATCACCAAGATAGTGTGAATTGTATCTATTAGGTGTGAATTTATCCCTTCCTTCCTGCCCCCTCTCACCTTCTTGCTTTTCTTTGAGTTTTACTACCAAATATGCACATGGGTAGTTGAATGATTCTTTAATATTTAATAGTGAGTACATGAGGTGTTTGTTTTTCTATTCTTATGATACTTTACTTAGAAGAATGATGTCTAGTTCCATCTAGGTTGTTGTAAAGGTATTAATTCACCATTTTTTATGGCTGAATAGTACTCCATAATATATATGTACCACATTTTATTAATCCACTTATTATTGATGGGCACTTGGGTTGATTCCAAATCTTTGCCATTGTGAATTGTGCTGCTATAACTTTTTTCCCTTTGGGTAAATATCCAATAGTTGGGTTGCTGGATCAAATAATAGGTCTACTTTTAGTTCTTTGAGGTATCTCCCCATTGTTTTCCATACGTTGTACTAGTTTGCAGTCCCACCAACAGTGTATAAAAGTTCTTTTCTCTCTGTTTCCATGCCAGCATCTGTTGTTTTGGGATGACTACTATGGTAAAAATTTTACAATGTTTGTGTCATGAAGAAAGACATACTTTCCCCCTATATATTAACAAAACTATGTAGATAAGCTGTAAATTGGTTTATTCAGGTTGTAAGAGTTCTTGAATCTATCCTTTTTGAGATCTGTTTCTATTTGAGAGCTAGAAATCAATTTATAGTTTGATGTCTGCTTCATTTGTACTTTGTTTTTGACTGTGTGTTCTTCTAAATTAAAAGACCAAACCTATTCCTTTCAAAATATCATTTTCAATTTAAACTTTTGAGTGGTAGTCAGGAATTGTTATTGGACTGAATCATTTTCAAAAGTTTCTGGTACATTTCTGACTTTAGAAACCTGGGGTAGGAATCCCTTTCCATGTGCATATATACTATTTTTTGAGCCTCTTCAAAACATGTTTGGGTGGGTTCTTGAATATTCCTGAGGATAGTTTCTCTCGTCGAACTGTCAATGTTAATCTGAAAAGTGAAATTACAGGGACACCATGAGTAAGTATAATTGAAGAGGGACACGTCTAATGAAAAGCTTTACTTAATTCCCCTCTCTCCTTTTCAGTAGGATAGGGTAATTTTGTTTGTAGTTTTATAGTTATCTAAAAAAAGACGTATAAAAAATAAAGTATTTACTTTTTTAAAGGTAAATATCTATCTCCACATCTGGAGGCTGAGTGGAGGGCGGAAGGGAAACATGAGTCCCAAGACCAGAGAAGTGGCAGAGCTGCTCCTTAGCAGGAGGCAAGCGGTTTGTTAGCAGTCTACAAACCAGGAAGTTTATGAGATGGAGATCTCTTTTTAAGGAAAAGGGAAGTTGGTGATTTTAAGATTTATCTGCTTTAGTAGTCACAAAGGTTGATTTAACTGAATAGGCTCTGAAATTGGCAGAAAGTGAGGAGGAGTGGAGAAATAGAGGGGTGAAGTGGTTATTTCAATAAGCCAGGTAGTTTCCAGACAAGAGTTTTAGAGAATAAGTCGACACTGCAGGACGGCCTTGAGTGATGGATATCTTTTTCCCCTCAACAAGAATTTTCATTTCTCATTTTTTTCTCCACTAGGAGGAGACTCCACCTGTTTCACTCCTGACTCTTCATTTTCTTTAGGCAGTTGTAAACGATTGGTGGTAAAGTCAACATGAAGGTCTGCTTGGTTTCTGGTTTTAAACCAAGGCGAGCTGGTGTGGTGGCACAGACGTTGTCTAACACCACTGGGGATTTCCATGAGCCTATTTATAACATTTGTACTTCCTGCTGGCAAGGCCAATGCTTCATCTGAGGGCTTTCTTTTTCTTTTTAACTTTCTGGGAATTAAGGCGATTGAATAGGGATAAACTTTGGAATCAGACAGGCCTGGCTTTGAATTCTAACTTTCCCACTTAATGGCTGTGTGACACAGGGTAAGTTCTCAGATCCTCAGGTTTCTTTTCTATAAAATAAGGTTAGCAATACAAATCTGTAGCATTTAAGGAGATGCTGGATATAATGTCTAGCACTTACGGATGCCTGACAGGTATCAGTGCCCTCCTGGGGATGCACTGATTTCTATTTCCTGTGGTCTGGCAGTTACCTCTCTTGGAGACTGTGGCTGAATGTAAACCTTATAAATCTTCTTTGCTTTAGAAATTCTGTTCCACCGTGAGGCAGTTTTCTTATACGTTTCACATGCCATCCAGAATTTAATATTCTCATCACTGTGCTCCAGTTTTAAATATGCTGCATAGACTACCGGACCATCTGAAAGTGGTAGAGAAATCAGTTTATTTTCATAAGTCAAAATTATCCAAAAATTGAATAATATTTAATGCAGTTTCAAACATAAGTCCATTAAAAACTCCCAAATCATATAACAAGTGAATATTTTGTATCTATATGTCCACTTACATGTGTATCACTATCTTCATCTATCACATACTTAGATCTATATATATGAAGTACATTTTACCAATACCAGTCATTGGTGAAGTCAGCCCTTTTTTCTGAGTCACTCCAAGTAAAATGCCCACCAATGTGACTATGTCTGAGACAGACAGGTCAGGACACCACAAGGATCTAGAGAAAAAACAAGCTGGACAGGTGGATAGAACTTTGACCAGGAAGCTGACATGAAAAATCTAAGCCCTCACCCCAAACTGGAAGGTAAGAGCCCAGGCCATGTGGGCGTGATTACCTGATCAGGTTGTGTAACCTAAAGTGTTTCTCAATGTCCAATCACAGCGAAATACAGATTAAAAAAAAAAAAAACAACTAACTTCATATTTATGGTCAGTGGTTCAAACTATGAGTAAGGGACCAGACAAGGAGAAGAAATCAGGTGGAATGTTGAAAAGTATTTCAAAATCCAGTAGAGGACAGCAGGTACACACAGAATAACCATGAAATGACACTACATGCTGGAGATACTTAGTTACGTCTTTTGGTAACTAGAAGGTCTTTGTTTGGTGTCTAGAAAGACTCTTGGAAGGAGACCTCAATTCCAATATCTGAGGAATTGAATTGATAAAGAATAAAATGACAGTGTAACTTCTACTGGATGTTAATGGAAATGCATTTGTAGGAAAATTAAACATGTCACTGCTTAGAGACTGTTAGCATAGAATTTTTAAATGTTGTTTTTCAAAAATCTGTACATAATTTGATTATACACTTGAGTTTGGAGGTAAATATTTACCCATGAAATCATTGCCAGAATCAATGCCATAAACATATTTAATCATCTCCAAAAGTATAGGATTTTTATTGATCAAAATCTTGGCCAGTATCCTTAACTGTTATGAGAAATAAGGGTAATCATTTCCATGATATTTTCCTGGATTTTAAGAGATTATGTCGAATTTTCGAGTAGCAGAAATTCAGGCTTCTCCTGGCTTTGTTAGAAGTGATATAGAAAAAAGATAAAAAGTATTCATTATACAACTCAAATAGAGGTAGAGACCCTTTAAGGGGGCTTTAGGGTTTGGGGAAAGCTGGCAATATGCAATAAATATGGCATCCTAGGAATACAAAGGATTGACACATGGATTGCTATTATCATGTTTAGCAAGTGTGAGTGGGAGATGGTTCACCAGGAACATCACATAAGTTGAGAGGACAGGTGAGTTGTGGGTAGAGCATGGATAGAAATGTAATATAGGAAATGACAATGGAGTACATGTTTCTATCCAATGGGAGAATACATTTAAATTTCAAACAAGAAGTTTGATTTCACATGACAGTGACTTTAAGATATGACTTGCCTCCTCATAGACGCAGAAAGCTGGGAGCAGAGAACGCAGGTGCAGGAATTGGTACTCCTATGAAATAGCTAAATAGTAGGAAACCAAAAAACAAAACAAAAACTCATTTCAGGATTAACAAGTAAAGTTGGAAGCCAATATTTTTCAGTATATAGTGAAAGAAAAAGAAGTCTATTTGAAAAAATAAGCAAGCTATCCAGTTGGTACTTATACTTGTAAGAGGTCTGAGAATTAAGTTCACAAACTTTACACTGTGCACTCATGCTGGCAGGACTGTACAAACAACTCAGTAAGGTTTGGTAACCTCGGTATATCAGGGTCTAACAGCCATGTTTGTGTTGACATGTGGTGATGTTTTGCTGAGTAGCATTCATTATTGTGTGTCCTATGATGACAGCTCTGATGGTCATTCCAGAAAAAGAGTTTCAAAATTGCTTTGAAGGCAGACTAGGGGCTGGCATCAGTGTAGCTTCCCAAGGGGGGTACTTTGAAGGTAACTATAGTGATATTCAGCAATGAGGTATGTAGCACTTTTTCTAGGATGTGTTTGCAAACTTAATTGTCAGACTCTTATACGCCATATAAAATATAGCATACTTCAGATGCTACGTGGGAGATTGCAGTCTTGTCTCTCAGTTATTCCCTGACCTTTGTGTAGGAGGATTATACTTTCATGTCCCATTTATGTCAGCACTGACCATCTGATTTTTGCTGGCCTATAGAATACCTGCCACATGCCAGGGACAAGTCTGAGCAGAAGGTTCAAGAAGCATCATGTGGTTCTGCCATTGCTCCCACCTCATGAGAAGAACATATTCTAGAGAAGAGCTGTTTCTTTAGCTGGAAGGCCAGAATGAAGATGTGGAGCTGACTCTGTTGTGTATCATGAACAAGAAACACATCTTTCTTGGTATAAATCTTTGGTGGCATTTGTATCATGGAATAACCTAGTGAAAGCTACCTGGACTACCTGAAACCTGTCTGACTGTGGTGTGTAGAATAAGTAGAATCATGTGATTGGAATGTTTTACAGAATCGGCCTACAGTAGGTTAATTTTTGTCTGAGTGTGCTGCTGGTTACCCAGGCAGGCAACTGAAAACACTTATGTGTAAAAGTGTTGTTCCAGGAATCTTCATAATCATTAAAGTAAAAATGGAATCGCTCTGTTTAGAATTTCTATTGGCTCATACAAGCGAATCACATGGGGGAAAGCCTTTTCCAAATCAGGCAAGGTAGCCCCCAAAAGCCCATTCTGCGATTTTAATTATTGCTCATTCGTAAGCATTATGCTCGAGAGACCACAGTTCCGTTTGGGCAGCTTGAATAAGGGGATAAACAACAGAATTGCTCATTTACATTGGGACGGTGGAAAAAATAGACTGTGTCATAGTTTGTGCTTTTTTTCCTGAAGAGTAAGAGGTGTCTTGGGGACTTTCTAGCCTATTCTCTTAAAACTAGTCACGAAAAGTAGTATTTCTATGACACATAGGTGACATATGCCAGTGTTCTTGATGCAGAAGGAAAATGTGGGCTTTCTCTTGGCTGAGTCAGAACCGTGGCCCATCTATTCCAGAATTATGTTTTCTATAAGGCAGCAAGCCGTACAAGATACATCAAATCCTAAAGATGAGCTGTATTGCGGTATCTCTAAACCAATTTTAAATCCATTTTATTTTTAGTCTATACCCATGGGGACAATAAATTCCATAATTCCACTAGCATCTGTATCAAGCTTTATAGTAAGTTTTCTGTTTTATTAAGTTCTCCAGTTTGGCTCCTATGATGTAATTCATTTGTTATTTTTCTCCTCCCTTCTCTTTGCTGTATTATTATAAACATAGCTTAAGGTACTGCTGGTTGTTTTTAACACTGAAAACTTCTAATAAAGTAATAACCACTGTTAGCGACTAGGTCTATTTCATTTTATTCTTTCAAACTTTGGTTCATGTGTAATTGTCTAGCGAGCTAGCATTCATTTACCCCCATAAACACAGATAAACACTCACATTTTTCTAACTGGCATTAAAATATGAAAGTAATTTCGCATCATTCTCATTCTTTCATATTGAATGTAATATAGTAAACACTGTCTTCTTTTTACTTTTAATCATCATATAATACTTCATTGAAGGCTAAACCATAATATTTTAGCTGCCCTAATATTATTTAACATTTATTTTCCCTTTGTTGTTTATAAATTATTCTACATTGGACATTTTGGTTTATAAATCTTTGCATCTCTAATTATTTTCTTAGGGAAAAATAATAAATTTAAAAGAGGAGAATTCCTAGATTGAAGATGTAATATTTTTGGAGCTCTTTATCTATATTTTAAAATTACTTTTAGAAAGATTTCATTGTTTTTCATTCCTAACAGCAGGGCCAGTATGTACTCACTCCGTCTTTTCCAGTCGGATGGGATAAAACCAGTGACTTGTTTCAATTACTCTTTTTAAAATATTAATGCTTAAACATATTCTCTTGCTTATTGATCATTTTTTTCTTGTGAATCTCAAATCTTTTGTCCATTTTTATTTTGCATGGTTAACGTTGTCTTGAATTTCCTGCAATCTCTTCATATGTTAAAAACACTATCTCTGTTGTACTTTTCATTGTTTTCTGTTCTCCTTTTATGCATTTTTTTTGCTTATGATTTTTGAAGCTTATTTGTAAACCATCCCATTCAAAAAAGCCTCAGTTCGTCTGTCTGATCCTGCTTTCAGTCTTCTCTGCCTTTTTACTACCGAATAATCTTTAAAATAAAAATCTAGCCACAATCCTCTATTTATAGACTTCCAACATTTTCCCGTTGGCCCAGTGATGGAATGGCAGATACCATCCATAAGAATGATAATGATACAAAATTGCTTTCATATTTTAATGCTAATTAGAAAAATGTGAGTGTTTATCTGTGTTTACGTGGGTAAATGGATGCTAGCTCGCTAGACAATTATACATGAACCAAAGTTTGAAAGAATAAAATGAAATAGACCAGGCCTCTTGGAAGGGGCTGAGAGCTGTTCAGATCAAGCACCCTCTACCGCTCCAGCCTCTCCTCCTGTCGTTTCTGGATACAGTCTTTGTTCAAGCCTTGCCACTCTTAGCCAAGCAGTATATCCCCTCCAGGCTCCTGTAAATACAATTCCTTTGGTGTGGCAGGTTTTAAACTGTGATCTAAGACTTAGTTTATGTTTCCCAATCTCTGGGAAAATTTCCTTCCCTAAGTTAGAAAAGTGGTCACTACTAATCAGGAATAGATGTCAACAGTACACGCCTATTTTAACTTACAGTTCTCTTTCCCTCCACTTTTTGTCCTTAACTTCAGTATCACAGTCTATTATATTTACTGGCTTACTTCCATTATTCTCCCACTTACCCAAGAACACTTCAGGGATTAGGACTGCAGTTGATCTTCATATACTCAACTTCTATGCACTGGCTGATATACAGCAGGTACTAATTAAACAAATGATTGTCAATCTGGGCTTTTGGATCCTTCA